CGTTTCGGCCACCGAAATTTCGGTGCATCCCTAATAATAACACCATGGCCATGAATACAGAATTGCCCCCTTGTTGTTTATAACATCCTCTACTATCCTGGGAAGCCTTTCTACAAGATTTTGGAGGGTGCCTGTGGAAATTTGTGTCCACTTGTGAGAGGTCAGGTACTGATGTTGGGTGAGAAGACCTGGTTCACCATCTGCATTCCAATTCGACCCAAAGGTGTTCAGTAGGGTCAGGGCTCTGTACAGGGAAAACAAGTTCCTCCACACTAAACTGGTCAAACCATGTTTTTTATGGGGCTTGCTTACTACACAGGGGCACAGTCATGATGGAACAGGGAAGGGTCTTCACCAAACTGTTACCTCAAGACTGGAAGAGCCCAATTGTCTAAAATGTCATTGGACAACATCTGTGGAAATTTGTGCCCACTTGAGAGTTCAGGTACTGATGTTGGATGAGAAGACCTGGCTCACAATCAAAGATGTTCAGTAGGATTGAGGTTAGGGTTCTGTACAGGACACTCACGTTCCTCCAAACCATGTCTTTATGAAGCTGGCTTTGTACACAGGGACACAGTCATGGCGGAGAAGAAAAGAGCTAACTCCAAACTGTTACCACAAGCTTGGAAGAACACAATTGTCTACATTGTCTTTGTATGATGGAGTATTAACAGGACTGGAAACACTTGATAAATACTTTTGAAGGATAAACACAAACTTATGGTCATATAATGCAGGTGTGAGGGTCAGATGTCCTCAATCATTTGGCCTTATAGTGTAGATCAGTGGTTCCCAACCTCAGTTCTCAAGTACCCGGAACAGGCCATGTTTAAGATAAAATAGTCATCATAAATACTAAGCCCTTACCATTAAATTTAAAGCACCTGTGCAAGGTGAAGAAAATCCTGAAAACATGACCCGCTGAAGCTTGAGGACTACAGACTTGCTTGGGTCCATCTCCAAAAGCACTCAAAGTATGGAGCACAGGTGCACCCAACACCAAAGAGGCCTTCAGTTAGAGAGGCTGTAAATGGAGAAAGCAACGGCTTGGTTGCTGATGGAGCTGGCAAGGGTTTCAATCTGGATTATATTCGAAGAGCCAGTTTTTACGAAGGCCTCACGAACATGGGTGCCAAGACCCGTAGTCCATGAATAGGGTGAGTGCTAATGTGGCTGGAGCCAAGTGTGGGCAGCGCATTCAAATTTATGAGGATGAAGGAGCACAGGACAGCAGGTGTGAACCCCCGATTTTTGTTCCCCTGTGACACCAACAAGAGGCCAACCAGTGAAGAACCACAAATCCTGGAGAGCCCTGCAGTTTGCTGGCACTTGTAGTTTCTCCCAAACAGGAAAGCTGCAGGTTGGTGCAAAGGTTGGTCCTCTCGCCACCCACAATGCTCTGAATCTGAACATAGGCCTCATTATGTGGCTTTACAGGGCAACTATTCCGTGCGACTCGGGTGTGTCCGGCCTTTATCTTCCATTATCTAATTTGTTCCTGTTAGTAGCGGACTGTGCCAGGGAGACACTCTCCTCCACCGTGACGATGGAGAGCACACGTGAGGTCTGAACGGAATTCTGATGGCGAAGGAGGCACTTTGATGTTCTGTAATAGGAAACATTCAGCTGAGCCGCTGTGTGGGAGCCGAGGAGATGGAGAGGGAACGCCAATTCCCACATTAAATCTCATTTCATACAATGCTTTTTGTTTGATCAACTTACACTACTTCTATGACTACTTCTGCTCCACGAATTACAGTAGGACTGTCTCTTGGTGGCCATTTTATCAATTTCTTTGCCAGATGGAAGCAAATCCCGAACGGAGGATTATATCAGATGTATGAGAATGTTCAGCATCGGTTTAAAGCAGATTTCCGGGCTAATTCTAACCAGTCTTAAAAGCGGAGCTCCACCCAAAGCTACTCGCAGCATAGCGCATTAGGAGTAGGGGAAGTTCCACTTTAAGGACTGCTCCCCCCCTCCCCATTAAGGATTGGCACCTTTGGAGGGGGGGGAGCGGGTACCCAAATTTGACAGGTACCCGCTCCCACTTCCGGTCCGATCACCTAGGCCAGGGGTAGGTAACCTGCGGCTCTCCAGCTGTTGCAGGACTACAAGTTCCATCATGCCTCTGCAAGTCATATCTGTAACTGTCAGTTTTTGTAATGTTGCAATGCCTCATGGGAAATGTAGTTCCACAACAGCTAGAGAGCCGCAGGTTGCCTACCCCTGGCCTAGGAGATCGTAAGCGGAAGGTGTCTTCCCCTCCCTCCCTGTAGTCTTTTGGGACACGTGACAGGTCCCAGAAGACTACAGGACCATTCAAGAAGCGCAGAGCTACTCGCGCATGCGCAGTGAGTACCCGGCTGTGAAGCCGCAAGCAGTCACAGCCGGGTGCCAACACTGAAGATGCCGGCCTCCAGGTATACAGGACGGCCGGTGAAACGGTATCTTCAGAGTGTAGTCCTTTAAGGGGTTGAATTAATTTGTTGAGAAAACCACATAAGCTGCGGGGGACAAACCAAGGGACAGGTAAGTGGTTTGTTTTTTAAAAGTCAGCAGCTACAGTTTTTGTAGCTGCTGACTTTTATTTTTTAACAGCGTGAGTGGAACTCCGCTTTAAGAATGTCCCCTTCCCCCTCCTAACACCTCTGCTGACTAACCTGTGTAAAAAAAAAAAAAAAAAAAAAAAGGATGTACATACTTACCTATTTTCAGATTGTTCATTCAAGAGATCCCCCGTGTCAGGCCACAGTGGCTGCAGGGGAGAGCACTCTGACAAAGCCTGGAGTGGTGACATCACTCATAGGCTCCCATGTCCCGTCCGTTGTCGGAGCGCACTCCTCTCCCCTGCAGCCAATGCTGACTGACACAGGATGGATCACTTGACCAGACTAGGGCGGGCCAAAAATAGGTAAGTATACAGATCCTTCTTTCACAGGTTAGACAGCACGTGTGTTAGGAGGCGGGTGGGAGCCTTAATAGTCTAGTTAGGTTCAGCCCGGAGTTCTACTTTAAAATCTGGAGCTGAACTCCTGTAATATCTCACAGCCCGGTAAGTATATGTAATGTATTACAGCCTGAGCTATGGCCATATGTGGAAGCTGGCAACTGAGAACATCACGTTTTCCACCGAAGAAGTGAGGTTACAGTGTTCTCTAAAGCCAAAACTTTTTTTTCTCCTTTTTGATGAAGTGTTGAGGGGTCACAACCCTCTGTCGGATTTTTTTTTTTTTTTTTTGCTGTTTGTGTCCCCACTGGGGAGACCCAACCTGTTTGTCTGTGATGGGACATACAAAACTTTACAGTTGTCACCAGAAGAGGGGAAAAAGGAGAAATCCTCCTTAGATAGAAGGTGGCAAGTGGGCAGGGGCGGACTGACAACTCATGGGGCCCCCGGGCAATAGGGGATCATGGGGCCCCTGTGTCCTTGCCCAAACTCAAAAAAGCCTATGAACAAGGTACCAGGGGCATCTTATGGGGCCTCCTACTGACCCCAGGCCCTCGGGCAGTGCCCAAGTTTCCAAATGGTCAGTCCGCCCCTGCGAGTAGGTGACCCTGCATCCCTATAAATCGAAAATATAGAGATTAAAAATGTGGGATTTTCAAGGTGCAAAAATACAATAGAAAACATGTATTAAAATTTTTTTTACAATTTTTATTAATCACTTTATTAAAAAAAATGAATTGTTTTTACAGTATTGCATTCTTTTTTTTTATAAAGTGACTAATAAAACTTGTAAAACATTTTTTTAATATAAGTTTTCTATTGTATTTTTGCACTTTGAAAATCCCACATTTTTCAGCTCTATATTTTCGAGAAATCCTCCTTGTTCCAGTGACAGCTAACAAAGGAATTCCACTCATTTTAGGAGATTGTAAAGATAAAAAAAAATAAATAAATAAAAAACAAAACCACACGTTATACTTACCTGCTCTGTGCAATTGTTTTGCACAGAGCAACTTCGATTCTCCTCTTCTTGAGTTCCCCGCCAACGCTCCTGGCTCCTTCCCCCTGCCATGTGCCCCCATAGCAAGCTGCTTGCTCTGGAGCACTCGTGCATGCTCGCTCCCAATCCACCTCTGTGTCCATAAAGCACAGAGCACGGCTCAGCTCCGCCCCGAATCCTCCTCACTGGCTGTGATTGACAGAAGAAGGAGCCAATGGCTTCTGCTACTGTCTCAGAGCCAATGAAGAGGGAGAGTGTCCGGACAGCTGCTGCTCTCGTTCACATCCCTGGATTGAGATGGGGCTCAGGTAAGTATTAGGGGTAAAGGGCTGCACAGAGGTTTTGTTTTTTTTTTTCAGCTTTTGGAACCACTTTAAGTTATGTTATGTCTTTGCTATACATACACTTAAAGTGGTTTTTAAATCTAAACATTTTTTACCATAATGCATTCTCTGCATGAAGGTTAAAAAAAACCTCATTAACCATCCTACCCCCATCCCTAAACACTTACCTGGCTCCGCATCACAGCTCCAGTGCTCTCTCCTCTCCATCACGGCTCCCTTCACTTCCTGCTTCCATAGTAGAAACCGAGGGCAGCGCAGCCATAGACTCCCGCTCACCTCGAACTCCTGTCAGGAGGGAGTGGGGATGCAGCTTACTGACACCGACAGAGTGCGCTACTCTTGTGGTAGGTTCTCCCCCACCCAGCGGATCCAGTGTCCTGCCAAGATCCTCTTCTCAGCAGTCAATGCTTGGGTCCCACGCCGCCATGCTTGTGTGTGACATCATCAGGAATCCTTCCGGCTCTTCCATGTTCAGCCACTGGGCCTCCCAATAACAAGCCCCTAGGCCTGCCCCCCTCCTCCTCTGTGAATAAAACACTAAGGCCTCCTGGGATAGGTGATGTACTTATCCCAGGAGGGACAGCGGACACATGGTTTGCCTAGGTCGGGGGTCTCTAAACTTTCTAAACAAAGGGCCAGTTTACTGTACTTTAGAATTTAGTAACAAGTGGGAGTAGAAAATGAAATTAGTGGGAGGAACGGCGCCCCACCACTGGTGTCAGTGGGAGGAACGGCGCCCCACCACTGGTGTCAGTGGGAGGAACGGCGCCCCACCACTGGTGTCAGTGGGAGGAACGGCGCCCCACCACTGGTGTCAGTGGGAGGAACGGCGCCCCACCACTGGTGTCAGTGGGAGGAACGGCGCCCCACCACTGGTGTCAGTGGGAGGAACGGCGCCCCACCACTGGTGTCAGTGGGAGGAACGGCGCCCCACCACTGGTGTCAGTGGGAGGAACGGCGCCCCATCACTGGTGTCAGTGGGAGGAATAGAGCCCCACCACTGGTGTCAGTGGGAGGAACGGTAGAGCCCCACCACTGGTGTCAGTGGGTGGAACGGCGCCCCATCACTGGTGTCAACGAATAGAGCCCCATCACTGGTGTCAGTGGGAGGAATAGGGCCCCATCACTGGTGTCAGTGGGAGGAATAGTGCCCCATCACGGGTGTCAGTGGGAGGAATAGTGCCCCATCACTGGTGTCAGTGGGAGGAATAATGCCCCATCATTGGTGTCAGTGGGAGGAATAGTGCCCCATCACTGGTGTCAGTGGGAGGAATAATGCCCCATCATTGGTGAAGTGGGAGGAATAGGGCTCCATCACTGGTGTCAGTGGGAGGAATAGTGTCCCATCACTGGTGTCAGTGGGAGGAATAGGGCCACATCACTGCTGCCAGATACCTGTCCTGGAGTTGGGTAATGGGTATAGGTATCAGGTCCAGTAGAAGACATTAACCCCACCTTCCTGCACCTCATCCAAGCCCAGTCCTGAGTGGGGACACATTCAATTCCCTCATGATGTTCTTGTACCTCGGGGGTGGGGATGTAGTCTCCAGTAGGCCTGGTTTCATATCCACAATTCACTACCACTGTGTCCTCATCATTGTTATCTGCTCTGAACCCGTTCCACAACCATGCCTACGAGACGTTCCTTATTTTTTTATTTTTATGCTACAAAAACATTGCATTCCAGCCTTCTTCTGGATGTGACTTCTACCAATAAACTTGTCCTTATACTACACTTAGTAGGCGCTCCTTGTCTTCTATACACAAGTCCATTCATTGCTTGGTGATGCCCAATATGCGTGACACCAAGGATTGGATTCTGAAGTAGAAAGAACAGGGTGCTTTCACATCACCCAATCAACATCTGCCTTGATACATTCCATAGTGATTGGATAAAGGCATTGGTACTACCGTGGATATAAAATGTCGGGCTATCTTCCTGACACTTATCAGAACTGAAGAAGTGACTTGGAATAGCTGCAAAACGTCTTCAACATTACAGAACAAGTGACCAGCAAAGATCAGTTGAGAATATCTACCTCATCCAACCGAAAAAAAAAAAAAAGACTTGCTGTGGGACACATGGCAAGGTCATGGGGATGCCATGTCTGTAGGAACACACATGACGTAGTTGCAGCTATGACACTCGAGAAGCTATCAGTTGGTCTGTGATACATATGTGACATGGGTGTATAGAATGTATGTGTGAAGGATGATTGACACTCAATTGCCATAATTTTAGTAGGATATATCAGTGAAGTAACTAGAGTTTAGAATAATAAGACAAGGACATTGTTATTATTATTATACAGTATTTATAAAGTGCCAATAGTTCGCTCAGCGCTGTACATTACAAAGGGGGACAGAACATGTGACAGAACAATACCAATACAATGCAAAACATGAGGGGATCGAGGGCCCTGTTCCTTGGAGCTTACAATCTAGGAGGGAGGGGATGGTGGCACAGGAGGAGATAGCTGTGGGGAATGGAGTGGTAGGAAGAGTGGAGGAGGTCGGCAAGTTAGCAGGGGGTGGGGTAGGCTTCCCTGAAGAGGCGGGTTTTCAGGGTGCGCCTAAAGGAGAGGAGAGTAGGTGATAATCTGATGGGTTGGGCAGGGAGTTCCAGAGGATGGGTGACACCCTGGAGAAGTCCTGGAGGCGGGCATGGGAGGAGGAGACCAGGGAACTAGAGAGAAGGAGGTCTTGTGAGGAGCGGAGAGTACATTTGGGTGTTACTTGATGATATTAGGTCAGTGATGTAGTTCGGGGCAGTATGGTGGACGGCTTTGTACGTCAGTGTTAGGATTTTGAATTTGATCCATTGCACAATCGGAAGCCAGTGGAGGGATTGGCAGAGGGGGGTGGAGGACACTGAGTGGAAGCCAGTGGAGGGATTGGCAGAGGGGGGTGGAGGACACTGAGTGAAGGCCAGTGGAGGGATTGGCAGAGGGGGGTGGAGGACACTGAGTGGAGATCAGTGGAGGGATTGGCAGAGGGGGGTGGAGGACACTGAGTGGAAGCCAGTGGAGGGATTGGCAGAGAGGGGGGTGGAGGGACACTGAGTGGAAGCCAGTGGAGGGATTGGAGAGGGGGGTGGAGGACACTGGAGTGGAGGCCAGTGGAGGGAGGGGGGGTGGAGGACACTGAGTGGAGGCCAGTGGAGGGATTGGCAGAGAGGGATGGAGGACACTGAGTGGAGGCCAGTGGATGGATTGGCAGAGAGGGATGAGGACACTGGACTGGAGGCCAGTGGAAGGATTGGCAGAGGGGGGTGGCGGAGATGGAGCGGTTGGAAAGGTGAATGAGTCTGGCAGCCGTATTCAGGATGGACTGAAGCGGGGATAGCCAGCGGCGAGGCAGGCCAGTGAGGAGGGAGTTGCAGTAGTCGAGTCGTGATATGATGAGGGAGTGGATGAGCTGTTTAGTGGTTTCTGGGGTTAGGAACGTGCAGGTTTTGGCGATGTTGCGGAGGCGGAGTCGCACGAGTTTGTTAGTGATTGGACTTGGGGCTGGAAGGATAGGTTGGAGTCCAGAATGACACCAAGTACTCTGCCCTGCGGGTGTTGCGCAGAGAATTTATATTATTAGTAAAATGCAAGGTCCACTCAAATTGCAGGACATTGTTAAAATCTATCAAGGCTAGATCTATGATTCATAGTTACAAGATGTGCAGTCGCAATCAGTCAAGGACTCATAGTTACAAGATGTATAGTCGGAACAAGTCAAGGTTAATAGTCACAATAGTTACACAAACAGAGCCTATTGCGCATGGCAGTAGACAAGGACACTGCAAATTATGTATATAAAAGAAGGGGGATTCTAGGGGGATTCGGGACTCATTGAAGATGCGGCAGACGTTCCTTGCGGTGATTTCCCAGATTTCCCCTTTGCTGATTGCTGGAGTCCCCCAATCGTTGGGCAACGGCTGATGCTACAATATCTGGTGATGTATTGATGCTTTATTCTTGCTATAATATGATCTAAATATGATTTGCAATTCTGACAATTTCTTATGTTATTATACTAACTGAACTTATTCAATAAATCATATTTCACTTTAAGATTGATTGAGCCTAATCCGTGTATTAGTGAGCGATTGTAGGAGTGTTAAAAACACTTTGTTTTGAGGCAAAACATGGTCACATTCAATGGAACACGTTTTGTAATGTTGAAGATGTTTTGCAGCTTCTCCAAACCACTTCTTCAATTTAAATGAGAACTATCAGAATAGGGGCAATAGAAATGGCACTCCTAATGTGTCAAAAGTCACCGGAGACGTCATCACGCCAGCCCTACTGTCCACAGTGCATTTCAACCATTACTTCCGGATGGTGGATGTCTGCTGACTGGCTTCCTCATCCTTAGACAGCCACACATACCAAGTACCCTGGCGTTTTCCCTAAGGAATTGTCGATCTGCTCCCGTCTGTGTTTTATTGATGAGCTTTTTTACCTGTGACTTATGTGAATTGCCTACATTTTGTACCAATAAATTTGCCAAAGAGTCCACACTTAGAGGCGCTTTTCCCTGTCCGCTTTTTGCCAGTTCTAATGAGAGTCAAGAACATCCCCCAACACACAGGCAGCAGTGACAGCTTGATCCAATCACCATGGAATGTGTCAAGGCCAATGCTGATTGCCCAAAAACAGGATAGGAGGTGTGAAAGAGTTCATCTATGTTAAACTGGAACGCAGGGTGAGGTCTTCTACATCAATTATGATTTTATGGATCATGGAACTGGAACTGGGTGGTTCCCCAACTTTCACACCTCCTATTCTCTTCTTGGACAATCAGCATCTGCCTTGACACATCCCATGGTGACTGGGTTAAGGTGTTGGAGCTACCTATGTGTATGTGAATGTTGAGATATCTTCATGAACTTGAGAGAAGCTACAAAACATCTTCAACATTCCAGAACAAGTCCAGTTGAAGGTGACCAACTACTAGCTCTACCATAACCCAGATAAATGAGAACAAGGGTTGCACCAATACCGAGTACTTACACGAGTGCGAATGCTCCTGATACCTGAAACCGATACCTTTGCGGTGCGATGTGAGCCGTGCGTCCCTAGGGTTGGTGTCACCCGGTGCGATAACACTTGGTGACACCCCCTCCGATGATCCCCGCAGAATGGATCGAGTGCAAATGCTCCCAATACATGAAATTGATACCTTTGCGGTGTGATGTGAGCCCATACAAAATGAACGGGCTCAAATCGCACTGCAAATCGCATCGTACCCAAAGGGAAAGCGCATGTGATTCGGACAGGAATCGCACCGCCACTTCAGCTGAAGCAGCGCGATCTCAGTTCAAATCACATGCGATTCTTTGCAGGGAGATTTGAGACCATTCATTTTGTATGGGCTCAAATTGCACCGCAAAAGGTATCGGTACTCGGTGTCAGTGTGGCAACTTGGCCTTGACACATTCCATGGCAACTGGGTTAAGGTGTTGGTGCTACCTGTGTGTATGTGAATGTTGAGGTATCTTCACGACACTCATTGGAACTGAGAACTTGAGAGAAGCTACAAAACATCTTCAACATTCCAGAACAAGTCCAGTTGAATGTGACCAACTACTAGCTCTACCAGAACCCAGATAAACGAGAACCAGGGTTGCACCAATACCGAGTACTTACACGAGTGCGAATGCTCCTGAAACCGATACCTTTGCGTTGCGATGTGAGCAGGAGCGTCCCTAGGGTTGGTGTCACCCGGTGCGATAACACTTGGTGACACCCCCTCCGACGATCCCCGCAGAATGGATCGGATCTGCGGATTGAGCATAATGGATCGAAGTCCGATCCATTACGCTCAATACGCAGATCCGACCCATCCTGCGGGGATCGTCGGCTTGCTTTACAACTTCCCTTTTCGTGGAGCGGGTCCGGTGTCACCCCGTATAGGTTGCATGCCGACGATCCCCGCAGGATGGATCCGATCTGCGGATTGGGGAGCATAATGTATCGGAGTCTGATCCATTATGCTCAATCTGCAGATCCGATCCGTCCTGCGGGGATTGTCGGCTTGCTTTACACCTGTACCTTTTCGTGAAGCGGGTCCAGTGTCACCCTGTGCGACACGCACCCCCCGCACCTGCCTACGGATGCCACTGGATGTGAGCCCATACAAAATGAACGGGCTCAAATCGCACTGCAAATCGTATCGTACCCACAGGGAAAGCGCATGTGATTCGGACAGGAATCGCACCGCCACTTCAGCTGAAGCAGCGCGATCTCAGTTCAAATCGCGCAGGGAGATTTGAGCCCATTCATTTTGTATGGGCTCAAAATTGCACCACAAAAGGTATCGGTACTCGGTGTCGGCGAGTACTTGACCGGAAGTATCGGTACTCGTAAGTAAAAAAAATTAAAAAAAAAATAAAAAAACAGTATCGCTGCAACCCTAACGAGAACGAACATTTATTCCTTGTGGTTTTGTTTTTCGGTTCAGAGGGTTCCAGTTCCAAAACAAGAAAAAACAGAAACCTAAAAACAGCAGAACGGTCTGCACTCCCCGGAGCGAACAGATATCAGCCGCGGTTTCCCACGTCTGACAAGAAGATAAAAGATAAACTTGGCATGACGCTTTGGCCAACAACACGGCATTTTCCACAGTTTCAATATTTAGAACCAAGTCCAACAATGAGAGGGGGAGGGGGAGGGGTCCTGATGCAGACAAATAAAGTTTTATTGAGGTGTTCTGCTCTCCGGCAGAACCGTCCGGGGTGAATCCAACACAAAGACACGACCGGGGATCTGTCCTTCTGTTCATGTATGTGCTCCTCTTCTGAAACCAACTTCTGCCCACACGTCACAGAACTGCGAGGTCCTGAAATTGTGACTACATCATATCATTTTCGTAAATAGTCTGGACTTGCTTCTCTGCAGTAAATCTCACCCATTCCTTGGGAACATTTCCAGCAAGACCTCCTATCAGAAATACATTGAGGAAAATGGTAATTCTACTGTGGGAACTAGCCTCAAATGGTTGTACACCTCAGACATGAAATAGGAACAAAGCCTATCCCTCTATAGTGTGCACTTGCCTCAATCCAGAGCACTAAGTGACATTTCTGTCTGCTGCCACCTTCCCCTGCTATCAGCATGAATCACTTCTGAAAAGTTTTCCTGACACCAAGAGAAAAATGGTGACAGGGGAGGGATCTCCAGCAGATTGACAGCCTCAGCTCTGTCCCTGTGTCTTTATGAAAGGGGGGGGTCCCTTCCCTCCAATCAGCTCTCAGAAATCTCTTCACTAAGTGTAACTTCAGCTCCCCGCCTCATAGTTGAGAGATCCTGTGTAAATTCAGCACTTTGAATGGATATAGAAGACAGACACTGTAGATAAAAAGGTACAACGCTAAGGGGGATTTGTTTTCTCTCCGTGTATCACCTGAGCCCAGTCCCTTCACTAAGTATATGTGAGGGTTTACAACCACTTCCCGTCCGACCCATGTATATAAAACGGCCGGACGGGGGCAGTGCAGGGGGGGATTGCTGTTCATAAACGGCGCCCGCTATTGTAGCCTGTGCACGCTCCCTATCAGCGCGTGGCATCGCGATCCTCAGTGTGAGTTCCCGATCATGTGATCACTGATTGGCCAGTCAGTGATCACATGAATAGTAATAAGCAAGATGTTACTTCTGACATCATTGCTTACTATGTGTGAAATCTGTGAATAATCACAGAGATCACATGGTACAGGGCTATTCGCAACATGTGACAAGCTGTGTCCAATCACAGCTCACACAGCATTTCTCAATGGCTGTAAGAATGCAGCCAGAGAGAAGGAGAAATGATTGCTTTAACAGCCTTTATGGGTGTAAAAGCAAAATCTTCATCACCCCCCACAAGTAGTACAGTGTCACTATAGTGACACTGTACTGCTAGGGTGACGGTATGTTTAAAAAAAAAAAAAAAAAACTGTTTACAAACAGTTCTCTCCCGTTAGCTCCGGCACACTGCTTTGCCATGCTTATAGTGAGGCACAAACACACAGCACACATAGTTAAACAGCACACAGTTAACCCTTTGATCACCCCTCATGTTATCCCCTTCCTGCCCAGTGCCATTAGTACAGTGTCTGTGCTTTTTATTAGACCTGATCACTGTATTGGTGTCACTGGAGATATGAGTGACACCAAGTTAGTTCTCCCCCCGTGTCAGAATCCCCGCTGCAGTCCCGCTATAAAATTAAAAATACCAGTATACAGTATCTTCCAAAAGTGAGTCCACCCCTAAGTGACAAGGTCCAAATTGGGCCCAAAGTGTCAATATTTTGTGTGGCCCCCATTATTTTCCAGCACTGCCTTAACCCTCTTGGGCATGGAGGTCACCAGAGCTTCACAGGTTGTCACTGGAGTCCTCTTCCACTCCTCCATGACGTCATCATGGAGCTGGTGGATGTTAGAGACCTTGCGGTCCTGCGCCTTCCGTTTGAGGATGCCCCACAGATGCTCAATAGGGTTTAGGTCTGGAGACATGCTTGGCCAGTCCATCACCTTCACCCTCAGCTTCTTTAGCCAGGCAGTGGTGGTCTTGGAGGTGTGTTTGGGGTCGTTTTGTTGGAATGCTGCCCTGCGGCCCAGTCTCCGAAGGGAGGGGATCATGCTCTGCTTCAGTATGTCACAGTACATGTTGGCATTCATGGTTCCCTCAATGAACTGTAGCCCCCCAGTGCCGGCAGCACTCATGCAGCCCCAGACCATGACACCCCCACCACCATGGGGCCCCAGACCATGACACTCCCACCACCATGGGGCCCCAGACCATGACACTCCCACCACCATGGGGCCCCAGACCATGACACTCCCACCACCATGGGGCCCCAGACCATGACACTCCCACCACCATGCTTGACTGTAGGCAAGACACACTTGTCTTTGTACTCCTCACCTGGTTGCCGCCACACACACTTGACAGCATCTGAACCAAATCCGTTGATCTTGGTGTCATCAGACCTCAGGACGTGGTTCCAGTAATCCATGTCCTTAGTCTGCTTGTCTTCAGCAAACTGTTTGCGGCTTTCTTGGTCATCTTTAGAAGAGGCTTCCTTCTGGGACGACAGCATTGCAGACCGATTTGATGCAGTGTGCGGCGTGTGGTCTGAGCACTGACAGGCTGACCCCCCACCCCTTCACCCTCTGCAGCAATGCTGGCAGCACCAGGAGTGCCCGGGCAGGGGACGCGCACCCATATCGGGAGTGCCCGGGCACGGGACGCGCACCCATATCGGGAGTGCCCGGGCACGGGACGCGCACCCATATCGGGAGTGCCCGGGCAGGGGACGCGCACCCATATCGGGAGTGCCCGGGCAGGGGACGCGCACCCATATCGGGAGTGCCCGGGCAGGGGACGCGCACTGCAACTTTTCAATATTTTGTAAATGTACCACACAGCACCTGCACCAGGAAGCTCACTTTATTCCCCAAAATATGCTGAAGCCCCCCTCCCCCCAAGACCCTCATTGCTGCATAAATGTCAATTACAAATAAAAAAAAACTTTATAAAGACACACAAAGAGGGGAAGTCAGCACTCACCATCGTCGTCTTCCCTTCCTTCTTCTCCACCACTAGAGGAAAACACAAGTAAAGTCTGTGAGCGCCACAAACAAAGAGATGCCATCAATGTGTTCGATGGAGACAATAACAATGTGACAGACGATCGATCTGCTTCAGGGAACACAAAACTATTTTGCACAATAAAAAAAAAAAAAATTAAAAGTGTCACAATTCTACATTGCCTCAGTGGGTGAGCAGTCCTTGTACAGCTCAGTGATGTTACAGCGCCCTCTGTGGCAGGATCAGATGACTACTTACAAGCTGTTGGATTCTACAGCTGGACACAAGCACCGGGTTGGCCCACCCCTACCTGGACATAGCCCACTGCACCCACCCCGGGGGCCCACCTGCAACACTGCACCCACCGGGGGCCCACCTGCAACACTGCACCCACCGGGGACCCATCTGCAACACTGCACCCACCGGGGGACCCATCTGCAACACTGCACCCACCGGGGGCCCATCTGCAACACTGCACCCACCGGGGGCCCATCTGCAACACTGCACCCACCGGGGCCCATCTGCAACACTGCACCCACCGGGGGCCCATCTGCAACACTGCACCCACCGGGGGCCCATCTGCAACACTGCACCCACCGGGGGCCCATCTGCAACACTGCACCCACCGGGGGCCCATCTGCAACACTGCACCCACCGGGGGCCCATCTGCAACACTGCACCCACCGGGGGCCCATCTGCAACACTGCACCCACCGGGGGCCCATCTGCAACACTGCACCCACCGGGGGCCCATCTGCAACACTGCACCCACGGGGGCCCATCTGCAACACTGCACCCACCGGGGGCCCATCTGCAACACTGCACCCACCGGGGGCCCATCTGCAACACTGCACCCACCGGGGGCCCATCTGCAACACTGCACCCACCGGGGCCCATCTGCAACACTGCACCCACCGGGGGCCCCTCTGCTGCAACACTGCACCCACCGGGGGCCCATCTGCAACACTGCACCCACCGGGGGCCCATCTGCAACACTGCACCCACCGGGGGCCCATCTGCAACACTGCACCCACGGGGGCCCATCTGCAACACTGCACCCACCGGGGGCCCATCTGCAACACTGCACCCACTGGGGCCCATCTGCAAATTGGGTGCACTGATTTCATAGCAGGGACTGGCCCTTCATGGCCATCTATAAGCAAATTCCCCCTCCCCCCCCCCCCCCCCCTCTACTGTCATGAGTGAAGAGGGAGGAACTGAAGGGCGAGTTTGTGGTACTAAGGGGTTCAAACAAACCTGCATTTTTGCCTTTAATGGGCCTGCTTTACACCTATCGCTGCCAGGTCGTACGTTGGACATGGTAGCGAAACGGTTAAAGTGACAATTTTTATTTAAAAGTGAAAGTAAAAATAAAAGTGACATTTATTTTATAAAAAAATAGTTATAGGTATTAAAAAAAAAAAAAAAAAAAAAAAAACTAAAGCGGCGGGTATTTAAAAAAAAAAAAAACGAAAGCGGCGGGTATTTAAAAAAAACTAAAGCGGCGGGTATTTAAAAAAAAAAACTAAAGCGACGGGTATTTTAAAAAAAACTAAAGTGATAGGTATTTAAAAAAACTAAAAGAGCAGGTATTTAAAATAAAAGTAATAAAAGCTATTTAAAAAATAAATTTAAAAAAGTAATAAAGCGACAGGTATCTAAAAAATAATAAAGCGACAGGTATCTAAAAAATAATAAAGTGGCAGTTATTTAAAAAAAAAATAAAGTGAGTTATTAAAAAAAATAATAAAGTGAGTTATTTAAAAAAAATAATAAAGTGACAACTATTTAAAAACATAATGTGAGTTATTGTAAAAAAAAAAAAAAAAAATGAGACAGTAATTTAAAAAATATATAATGCGAGTTACTTAAAAAATAATAAAGTGACAGTTATTTAAAAAAAATAAAGTAGGAGGATTGTATGATGTCAGCAATGAATGGGATTATTAGATCAGGCGGCGCAGGCATGCAGGAAGAGGTGATCACGGGTGGTTGGGGGGGGATGAAAGGTGACCACCAATGCTGTGGGGTTTTTTTGAGGGGGGGGGTTTAATTGGACCACCAATGATGGGGAAGGGATGTATTAAACTGCCACTAACAAGCAGTGTGGTGTTGTTCTGGGTGGGGTTGTAAAGGATCAGTGACCCCAAAGATGGACCCAAACTACTAACACCTCAGACAGACCCTCCACTCACACTCCCTTGAGTCCTCGGCTCGGCACCGCCGCTGGTCTCCATCCCTCCCGGCTCAGCAGCCCCAGTCCGACCCGGAGGAGCCTGCTGACAGGTGAGAGCAGCAAACTGGGGCCGCCATCTTCTCTACAGAGCGTCACTTCCGCTTCCTGCGTCCTTCTCCAAGGAGACCGTCGAGTTCCGCTTCAGCCGGTTTCCCTGGAAACGAGAAGCGCCGCAGCCATCTTGGTTATGTGCAGGAGACCTGAGGGTGGAATGTTTTCCTGGGCGGGCAGTGTCAGCTTCCTTTTCATATCAGTGACATGTCAGCCCCTCTGTCATATGGCCCCATCTCTTCCCCCTCCCACAATTGGATATCATTTTTTTTTTAATTTAAGGGCCCCTTTCACACTGTTTTATTGAAAAAAGTTGTAAAAACACATTTTTGATGCACTTTTTGGGTGCCTGACGCTATTCATGCAGTTGTGAAACATGGACATGTGACTCAAAAACGCAATTGCGTTTTTGGTTTTTTTTTTTGAGTCACATGGTCCGTGTTTCAGTGCTGCACGTTTCAGGCACCCAGAAAACAACAGCGGAAACAAATGCGGCAAAAGCCCATATGTGTTTTTTCTACAGAGCAGTGTGGAAGCAGAGATTGATAAATATACGCCGTGTTCCAAATTATTATGTAAATGATATTTTTCTCATACAGTCGGCAGAATTCTCCTGTTACAACTATAAGAGTACAATTCACATTTTATTGAACAAACCTCCCAATGATAACAGGATTTTTGTTCCAAATTATTCCGCACAGGAAGTTTCAAAACACTTTATAGGTTGTAAAGAACTGAAAATTGTCATTTGTTGTGTTTGCAGCAAATTTACTGAAATGAAAAACTATTTCAATCAAACTTCAATCAAACCGGTCACGTTACATTGTAACATAGGAGCCCTTATCTGATAGCAGATCACAAGTCTGGCATCCATTGAACTTGTGAATTTTTGGACAGTTTCTGCTTGAATTTGTTTGCAAGATGTCAGAATAGCCTCCCAGAGCTGCTGTTTGGATGTAAACTGCCTCCCACCCTCATAGATCTTTTGCTTGAGGATGCTCCAAAGGTTCTCAATGGGATTGAGGTCAGGGGAGGATGGAGGCCACACCATGACTTTCTCTCCTTTTATCCCCATAGCAGCCATTGATGCAGAGGTATTCTTTGCAGCATGAGATGGTGCATTGTCATGCATGAAGATGATTTTATTACGGAAAGCATAGTTCTTCCTTCTGTACCAGGGAAGAAAGTGGTCAGTCATAAACTCCACATACTTTGCAGAGGTCATCTTTACACCTTTGGGGGCTCTAAAGGGGCCGACCCGCTCTGTTCCCATGATTCCGGCCCAAAACCTGACTCCACCACCGCCTTGCTGACATCGCAGCCTTGTTGGAACAGTGGTGGCCGTCAACCAACCATCCACTACTCCATCCATCTGGACCATCCAGGGTTGCACGGCACTCATCAGTGAACAGGACTGTTTGAAAATTAGTCTTCATGTATTTTTCTGCCCAATGCAGCCGTTTCTGCTTGTGAGCATTGGTTGGTGGTGGCCGAATAGAAGGTTTATGCACAGTTGCAAGACTCTGGAGGACTCTACACCTTGATGTCCGTGGGACTCCAGAGGCACCAGCAGCTTCAAATATCTGTTTGCTGCTATGTAATGGTATTTTAGCAGCTGCTCTCTTGATCCGATGCATGGATCTGGCAGAAATCTTCCTCAATGTGCCTTTATCTGCACCAACCCATCTGTGCTCTGAATCAGCCACAAATCTCTTCATAGTGCGATGATCACGCTTAAGTTTTCGTGAAATATCGAATGTTTTCATACCTCGTCCAAGGCATCGAACTATTTCACTCTTTTCGGCAGCAGAGATTCTTTTTCTTGCCCATATTGCTTGAAAATGGCGCTCTGCTTAATAATGTGGAACGCCGTCCTTTAGTAGTTTTTCCTTAAATTGGGCTCACCGGCCAATCTAATTATCACAGGAGTCCGAGATTGTTTTCAGTGATCAAAAGAGCCCTGACACACAATGCCATCCAAGAGTTACACTGAAAAACAAAATATTTAATCTTTGTGACACTTAAATAGAATTTGCATAATAATTTGGAACACGGTGTATATGCTAAGAGAGAAGGATGTTTGTGGGGTTAACTAATCTTCAGGCCTAGAATTATTATTTTTTGGGGGGGGGGTTTTCATCCACTTGCTTCCCGAGCCAATTCTGACACTTCCCACATAAATATAAAAATCACCTTTTTTTTCTTCTTTTGCTAGAAAATTACTTAGAAACCCCAAAAATCATATACACTATATTGCCAAAAGTATTGGCCCCGCCCTCCAAATCATGTGATTCAGGTGTTCCAATCCCCTCCATGGACACAGGTGTATAAAATCAAGCACCTAGGTATGCAGACTGCTTCTACCAACATTGGTGAAAGAATGGGTCGCTCTCAGGAGCTCAGTGAATCCAACCGTGGTCCCGTGATAGGTGGTCACCTTGGCAATAAGTCCATCCGTGACATTTCCTGGCTACTAAATATTCCACACTCAACTGTCTGCAGAGTCAATAGCTAAAGACCTCCAAACTTGGTGTGGCCTTCAGATGAGCCCAACAACAGTGCGTAGAGAGCTTCATGGAATGGGTTTCCATGGCCGAGCAGCTGCATCCAAGCCTTCCATCACCAAGTGCAATGCAAAGCGTCAGATGCCGTGGTGTAAAGCATGGTGCCACTGGACTCTAGAGCGGTGGAGACGTGTTCTCTGGAGTAACCAATCATGCTTCTCTGTCTGGCAACCCGATGGACATGTCTGGGTTTGGCGGTTGCCTGACTGCATTGTGCCAAGTGTAAAGTTTGGTGGAGGGGGGATTATGGTGTGGGGGTTGTTTTTCAGGGGTTGGGCTTGGCCCCCTGGTTCCAGTGAAGGGAACTCTTAAGACGTCAGCATACCAAGACATTTTGGACAATTTCAAGCTCCCAACTTTGTGGGAACAGTTTGGGGATGGTTCCTTCCTGTTCCAACACGACGACTGCGCACCAGTGCACAAAGCAAGTTCCATAAAGACATGGAGGAGCCAGTTTGGGGTGGAGGAACTTGACTGTCCTGCAAAGAGTCCTGACCTCAACCCCATAGAACACCTGGGGCCCAATACCATCAATGATGGGGCACAATTCCTCCCAATGACACCAGTGATGGTGCAGAATTCCTCTTAATGACACCAACAATGGGGCCCAATGACATCAATGATAGGGCACAATTCCTCTCAATGACACCAACAACGGGGCACAATGCCTCCCATGTACACTAATAATGGGATGCAATTACTCTAACTGAAACAAACAATGGGGCATTATTTTTTCCCACTGATGTCAGGACCATTTCTACTCCCACTGGCCACAATCCAGCCCCTCTAAAGTCTGAGGAACAGTAAACTGGCCCCTTGTTTAGAAAGTTTGGAGACCCCTTGTCCAAATCATTATTCTCACCCATTGTGTGCCAGTATGAGGTTATAGGAAGTCAGTAGCCAGTCAAACGTTTCCTGTAAGTCTTCACAAGGTTGGCACACACTGTTGCTGGTATGTTGGCCCATCCTCCATGCAGATCTCCTCTAGAGCAGTGATGTTTTGGGGCTGTCGCTGGGCAACACGGACTTTCAACTCCCTCCAAAGGTTTTCTATGGGGTTGAGATCTGGAGACTGGCTAGGCCACTCCAGGACCTTGAAATGCTTCTTACGAAGCCACTCCTTCGTTGCCCGGGGCGGTATGTTTGGGATCATTGTCATGTTGGAAGACCCAGCCACGTTTCATCTTCAATGCCCTTGCTGATGGAAGGAGGTTTGCACTCAAAATCTCACGATACATGGCCCCATTCACTCTGTCCTGTACATGGATCAGTCGTCTTGGTCCCTTTGCGGAGAAACAGCCCCAAAGCATGATATTGCCACCCCCATGCTTCACAGTAGGTATGGTGTTCTTTGGATGCAACTCAGCATTCTCTCTCCTCCAAACACGACGAGTTGTGTTTCTACCAAACAGTTCTATTTTGGTTTCATCTGACCATATGACATTCTCCCAATCCTCTTCTGGATCATCCAAATGCTCTCTAGCAAACTTCAGACGGGCCGGACATGTACTGGCTTAAGCAGGGGGACACGTCTGGCACTGCAGGATCTGAGTCCCTGGCGGCGTAGTGTGTTACTGATGGTAGCCTTTGTTACGTTGGTCCCAGCTCCCTGCAGGTCATTCACTAGGTCCCTCCGTGTGGTCCTGGGATTTTTGCTCACCGTTCTTGTAATCATTTTGACCCCATGGGGTGAGATCTTGCGTGGAGCCCCAAATCGAGGGAGATAATCAGTGGTCTTGTATGTCTTCCATTTATTGCTCCCACAGTTGATTTGTTCACACCAAGCTGCTTACCTATTGCAGATTCAGTCTTCCCAGCCTGGTGCAGGTCTACAATTTTGTTTCTGGTGTCCTTCTACAGCTCTTTAGTCTTCACCATAGTGGAGTTTGGAGTGTGACTGTTTGAGGTTGTGGACAGGTGTCTTTTATACTGATAACAAGTCAAACAGGTGCCATTGATACAGGTAATGAGTGCAGGACAGAGGAGCCTCTTAAAGAAGAAGGTACAGGTCTGTGAGAGCCAGAAATCTTGCTTGTTTGTAGGTGACCAAATACTTATTTTCCACCATAATTTGCAAATAAATTCTTTCCAAATCAGCCAATGTGATTGTCTGGATTTGTTTTCTCATTTTGTCTCTCATAGTTGAGGTCTACCTATGATGCCAATTACAGGCCTCTCTCATCTTTGTAAGTGGGAGAACTTGTACAATTGGTGGTGACTAAATACTTTTTTGCCCCACTGTAGCTAGGAACTGAACAATCCCCCCCCCCCCCCCAATTAAAAAAAAAATTAAATAATTTGATCATATTTATATATAAAAGGCAAATCACAAATACACAGAGGAGTTCCAACCAGTGAGATGATTAATGTTTTTGAGTAATTTGAACATTGGATAGAGTTCCAGTTACTGGCCATGCTACTCACATGTCGTCTGACACATCACGTCCATTGCTGATTCCAGG